TTTTGGCTTTAATGTAGCTTCTGGTATAATTTGAGGTATCTCTTTATACAGTAGTTTAATTTAAATATTCATTTAATGTTTTGATGTTTCCACGTTTATTATTGAGCCAGCAGTGTCGAGCAGCATAACCAAGGGACTGAATTCTTAATGCTAATCTGCTCTCCCTGCTTAATGGAAACTCCTAGTCCGGCTTAGCAGTTGAATAATTCAGCCTAAAGGAATTAAAAATGTCAGCTCCTGCTCTCAAGTCCGAGCATTAGTGAGAACGGAAGCATGCAAGTGCCCTTGTTGTGTATCTCTCTGAAATTGGCACTCGAATTGGCACTTCAGATTTATTGAGATTATTCATTCTTAGAAATTAATCAGTCCTGGATTTCTAATTCTATTTTTAGATAAGTAATAATTCAAACAGAAATATCAAGAATTTTCGGGATTTGGAGTAAATCATTTGTTGGGAGTTTCAAATCAAAAGGGTTGGAATTTTGCGATGAAAGCTGAATTCCTCCCATGAATATGGCTCGCTGTTGAAATTGCGTTGCTGTCACTGAAGCTCGGGTGGCACTTCGAAATGCAGGCCGAAATGAGCGCTGCATGAATGTCTTTAAAGCGAGAGAACAAAGGGGTCTGCAGGACATAACTCCATCGCAGGTCCTGGAGGATGAATTGCTGAGTGGCGATGGCTGATCCATGACTCGAATGCGAACTTTTAATCTTTACAAGAAAAAAAATTAAGTTCTTAATTATATAACTATTTTGATTGAATATTAGTTTCTCAAAATAAAAATTTAAAATTAAAGTTCAGGTGTAGAGAGAATGAATTACCGTTCAAATTGCGGTTTACATTTTTAAACTAACTTTATCAAGTTCATACAAGTTAGCAACAAAGGATGCATAGGAAGATTCTTGAAGTATCGCAATTCCAGATTTTCGTTCCTATAGTAATGCATTTAGATTATTTTCTCAAACTTTACCTCTATTCAGTTTTGATACGCTGATTATTCATTAATGCTTTCAGCACACAAATCGTTAACAAAATTATTTATTCAAAGGTTGTACTTTGATGCATGTTTTGTTGCGGCCAACAGAGTAGCTTTCAGTGACAATTTTCGTGTGTCGTCTTCATTTTGCGCATCAGATAATGTGTTTTATTTGTTTTATTTCCAGATTTAAGTGGACAACTCGGAACCGGATAACGAATTTCTGCATCATTTTTGAAAGATCATGTCTCATGACAAGCGCGGGGATTTTTCTAGGTTACAATTATTTTTTCCTTGTCGGGGAAACTTAGTCTGCGTATTTCCATTCTTTTTGTTTCTATGGACACTCAGGTCGCATCATTCCATTTAATCCTCGCTGAAAATGGCGAATTTATTTACGACCGTGCGAATCGCTTGCATTCTTGGCTCCGCTCAACTGCTGCATCAGCATTTTTTATCTCTGGTTTCACGTTTGCTAGCTGGCCAGGTTCTGTTCATCAGCTCTTCGCCGGAAATACATTCAATTTACCACTAGTATTTTTATGCAACTTCAACTTGAACCCATTAAAAATATCTAAATTGCTTTTAACATTTTTTAAGCGACAACTATTTTTAATACTGTTATTACATCTACCTAATTTCTTATTCCCGATGCATCGAAAATTTCTTGACTCATTACATCATTTTCCAATGAATAAGTTTGATATAATTCATACAGAAATTTACGGAACCGCTGCAATTTTGAGTTATATTTTGCACACATCATGAGCTTTTCTCAGTGCATCGCTAAAATTGTTTATGGCATTGCATACATTTCAACGGCTCCGTTTTTTTCAGTTATTTTTGACCAATGGCTGATTTCGTTCCTATAATTGACACTCATTATGGTCAGTCAACTAATCGACGCCCTGCACTTATACTCACTCCAAACAGCAATAATGGCTCTGATATTTTTTTAACTCTTGAAATTGTATGAGACTTTTTAAAGTATATGAGATTCTTTAAATTGTATGAGACTCTTTAAATTGTATGAGACTCCTTAATTGTAAGAGGCTCTTTAAATTGTATAAGACTTATTAAATTGTATGTGACTCTTTGAATTGTATGAGACTAATCAGATTGTATGAGACTCCTTAAATTATGTGAAACTATTTAAATTGTATGAGACTCTTTAAATTGTATGAGACTCTTTAAATTGTAATTGCAACAAAGCATCGTAATTGTATGACTAAACATCGAGAACTGAATATGCTGGCTTTAAAGAGACTTGTTTGGCAAAGGAAAGACAAAGCTGCGAAATTTGGCTCCGTTCCACGGCGTGATCCAGAATTCAAATTCGTAGGATAATTAAAGATGATTCGTGATGGCAAGTAAACATCTGAAGATGAGATGGCTAAAAAATTTCAAAAACTACGCGAGCCGGAAATTCAACTCCGTCTTTGTTTCACGGCCAACAAACAAAAATTGCCATTCGGACCGGCGCTGCTTTTGGATTCGAAGAAATAGGCTGAGTATTGCATCCAATAAGACCGGTTCGTCGAGCCAGTCATAAATACCTTGCATTTAGGTTCAGAACTTTACAATGATATGATTTCCTCTTTAAGCCTGTATGAATGAATTTGTAGCGACAGCCTCAAGATTTAATACTGATTATATAACCTATTTAAGATTAGAAACTAATTTTTTCTTTACTTTGTATGATGTAACATAGATAGTTTAGAATGTGAAGGTTATTTTTGCTAACTGGAGTTTCAAAAATTTTATACAGTATTTGCCGTAAATATTCGAAACTGATATTCTACGATGTCTGCCGCACGACAAATAAAACAGGTCAATTAATTCGATGGAATTCTAAATACTTTTCAATATGGATTCTTTTAAAATCTGTGGGAGATCATGAGCACGAATAGTTCCTTTGATTAGCTGTATCAATATAAATGTTGTTTGTCTGAAGTGGCAGCATCAGTATTCTAAGGACCCATTGCTTGGAATGGTTAAAGAATCAAGGGGCACCCCTGTTGTATAGCAACTTGGCTTCGTCATAAATTAAATTCGGCATTAAGAAGAAGCCGAGCTGTCCACACAGAGGCTTCAAATTGTGAAGGGGAAAACGCGCTGCGCGAGGGCAACGTTTCGTGTGAGGGTACATACATCACCTGAGGGAAGGCATCACGTGGTGCTAACGGAACGCGTGGTTAGGATGTACCTCGCTTTGCGAAGATACCTATTTGTGCGAAAGTACCGCATTTTCTGCGGGTACCGCGTAGTATGAAGGTTCCCTCGCATCTGAGGGTACCCTCTTGCACTTGAACTCGCTGTATGAGAATACCACGGCATCTGAGGGTATAACCTAATTAATACGAAGGTACCGCGCGGTTCGAGGGTACCACGGCATCTGAGGTTATAACTTAATTAATACGAAGGTACTGCGCGGTTCGAGGGTACCACGGCCTCTGAGGGTATAACTTAATTAATGCAAGGGTACCGCGCTGTTCGAGGGTACCACGGCATCTGAGGGTATAACTTAATTAATACGAAGGTACCGCGCGGTTCGAGGGTACCACGCCATCTGAGGTTATAACCTAATTAATACCGTTTTGTGCGAGGGTATCACGTCATCTGAAGGTACCGGGTTGCACTTGCGTACCGCGTAATGCGAGGGCACCGGAAATTGGACGCATCTGTGAGGGGCTTGCCAGAAGCACTGCGAGGGGACACCCTCGCTTTATGAGTGTCATAATGATTCTATTTTCCGTGACCCGAACACGAGCGTCGAGAGCGGACGCATGACATCGTTAGCTGGCTTGAATTATGCAACTAGTAATGTAAACATGATCTCGAATTCAAATTGTCCAACATTTAACAACATGGAAAAATTTAGATTTTTCACAAGTTATTGGTGCAATACTTTATAATACTGTGGAGTTTTGTAGGTAAATAAAAAATTTTCAGGAAACGTTGGCTTAAAAAAATTTAGTCCTTTTAGAAATGTAGACGGAACCAGAACTAGAATTGTAAAACTTTAAAAATTTTATTCGTAACTTTTCTCGAAGCTTTCCAATAGGGCATTTGAGTTAAATAATGTTTCCAAAAAAAAACTCCCTCCAATTTTGATTGATTTGATTTGAAATTATTAACGAAATTCGGAATAAGAAGATTCTCATAACTCAGGTTATTCATCATATTTTATAAGCTATTTTGGCATAAACGAGAATGATACATCAAGACCACTTATGTTATTCATTCTTCCGCGCATTTTTTTCAAATCGGAGTAATAAAAAGAATCTGTATTTTAAATTGACTCATCTGAAGTGGAGGTATGGAATGGATAGCCACTAAATAAACCGGCTGGCGCACAGGGCTAACTCTGACAGGGTCGTTCTGACTCATGTAAGTTATAGGTGAGTCAAGGATAGCGTCTCTGACGCGGCTCTAGTTTTCAGTAAGGGAGGCTCGTGATCAAAAGACGACTTTGATGGCCTTAAGCTCATTACAATTCGTTTAGTTCAAATTAAGGCTATTGGATGGGAAGCTTATTGGCCGAACATCCTGGTTTTGTCAAGTCACTGAGTATGGTAGATATTAAGTGCTGTGAAATATATTTACGGTGCACTCAATATTCGGAGGGAAATGTTCCTACAAGCTAAGCTTTTTTTTTATATGTATATTTACATATATTTATTTATATTTTGTCTATTAATTGTATATTTACGTTGTAATTTCGAAAGGGAGTTTTCTCGTAACTCCCTATAAATTTATGCATACAATTGCCTGACCTTAAGTTTTCAAGTGCTCATCTTGTGCTATGAAATGATCGGTGCTTCAGCAAGTTATCATTACTCACTCACAACGTAGTAATGATCGGTTGACCAGAAACATAGATATAAACTCAGCTCACTATTCGTTTCATCGACACTCTTAGACTCTCCTAACCATGAATAATATTTTGAAGTTCATTAAAACTGCCCCAACTCACCACCATTATTATTTATTCACTTATCAATTATCTTCTCATGCCTGCAGTGCACCATCGAGCTGCCGGACCGTTTCCAGGACATCTTCCGTCCCGTCGTGGACTGCGCCATGTGCCGCAACGTCACGCACGTCGACAAGGTCGCCCGACTTTCCCCCCAACTCTTCGAACAAAGGCGAGCTCACGCCACTTTCTTCCCGGCTATAAAAAACAAAAATTCATATGTTATAGGTCAAAACTCGCTAAAATCCACGAGCTGCGGCTTTATTCTAGAAATATTATGAATATCTTGTCCATTGAAAGGCTTTTTATATGATGAAACAGCGGGTTAATACAGCGCTGTTTGGGACGTTGACTAATGACTGCATTAAAAATATCTTAATTAGGGTTTATAAGTTACCTAGATGCCCAAAAAAAAAGCAATTAAAGATAACCTGAAATAAGCCATTCAAGCTAACTTGAAATAAGCAATTACTCGACATCGAATTTATAATGTGGCCTTAGGATGCTTCCAACTGGGAGATGCATTCACTTAGGCTTTGTAAAATGTAGATTTTGTACTCGTTTTTCTATTCATTGGCTACTTACATTCTTATAAGGTTTCTTGCGTGTGCGTCTTTCTTGCGAATTTGAAGCCTGGCAAAGGAAACATAAATTTGCCTGATTAGGTGGAATTTCATTATTGATGGAAGATTTCTGCTCTGATGAGTGAAAATTTACTCGAAATTTAAAAGGTTCGAGTTAGGTTTGAATGGGTTTTCTTTGACTACGCTGCTTCAGTTTCAAAATTAAAAATTGGACTAGGGGTGACGAAGTTTCAGGATGACCGGAACCGTGATATCGTAATTCAGATTAACACGATTCTCAAATTGATATGATTATATATAATGGGCAACGCCGGGCTAATTTGATAGTTTATAATAAAGATTGTTACCGATTCTGAAAAACTTTCGAATCAGTTAAAAATCTGGTATCATTTTTTACAGAAGAAGTCCTAATTCACAGATATAGGTATACCTAATTTTTCAATTTATTGTATAATAAATTCAATCACCGCACTTATTAATTGTAGAATGACTATTTACTACATCAATGAAGTGAAAACTTGATTGTTGTTCTTAACAATATTGTAATAACTGTTAACTATATTGTACTATTCTATAAATAATGGGTAAGACCTGAAGGTGACCAATTACATATTGGGTGGTAAATCATCGGACATGATAGTCAGAATTAATCATTCAAGAGAAAGCCAACAGAAAATTATTTCCATCATGGCAATTTCAACCAAAAGATTTTTTTTGATACAAGCCTAGCAGCTAAGTTGTAAGTAGTGCCAGATTAATTTTTAGCGCATTTTCTCATTTATGGAAAAAAGGCGCTATTGTGCTCGTCATGTCCGTCCGTCCGTCTGTCAGTCCGTGACCACATTTTCGTCGACGCGAAAATGTGCTCTCTGTCACTCACTGCAGTGAGTACAGAGTTATATTTTTTCAAACAAGATAAAAAATTACGACCAATAACAATAATTTTAATTTTTAACAGGCCACTCTGCAGACTTTGATGACCTATAATAAACGGCCGAACAGCGCAAGGCCTACTAGTTTCGCACGAATTTCCCTCTAATATATGTCAAAAGTTTTAGGATTAGCGAGGCAGTTCTTTTGTACGATTTTCGGCTGAGACGAGAAACTGTGAACTAATTTTACTCGTAAAAATAATGACTTCAACTTTTAGCAAAATTTAGAAGGCTATAAAAGACGGAATGTCAGTTTTGACAGCCACTAAAATATGGAACAGCCGACCGCTACCAGCTTTTATATTATTTCTCCCTACGTTATAGAGATGAAGCGATCTCGCAAGCTTGTCTGTACGCAAAATAATTACATAAAAATGATCGTGCCACTGCATGGCTAACTATGATGATTCTCATATTTAACATTTGATAAAGTTAGGATACTTGCGACATCTGAAGAGTAGATTAAGGTTCAGCCTAATCTCGTGAACCAAAATTTGTGTGGATTTCTTACATATTTTGAAATCCGAGCATTATAATTGAGTCTCTGATCTTAATTTCTTGTCTCCATGTACTTTTTTTCCCTAGGTATCATTTCCAATGTAGCTGATAAATCAAATCACTCAATAAAGATCTATTTTCACTCCTTTAACTATCAATAATGTATGCATGGACGCCAAAGATTCTTTGTATGCAAGTTGTTCAACAGCTGCGCGGTTGCCGCCTCGCAGTGAAGGCCCATGTGGTCTCAGAGACTCCCTAAAAATCTCATTTCTTTTGAGCCAAATTATCGAATTTTCGATGACGGATTACGCTATTTTTCCACGACTTACTATTTAGGAACATTAAAAATTATAAATTCTTCAATATCAGAAATAATATAATGCGTTTTCTGTTTCGGAACTTTACAGGTCCGCCAAAGGACATATTACAGTCTAATTCACTTGAAATAAATTCAAACAAATTATAATTTTTTAAACAGATCAGACGGGTTGTGATTATTCCAGGAATAAACAGGTACTCGGAGTTGTGCTTGTGCTGTATTGATTATAAAAACATTTTTATTTAATGCAAAGCGTTTTCTCTTCTGCTCAGATCGACCACGTCGGCAAGCGGTCCTGGCAAGCGCAAATTCGTGGCAGTAAAACCTGGACGCTGGAGCCTCCGCCTGAGTGTTACTTCCAGTGCCAGACACTCAGCGTTACTGTACATCCTGGCAACATCAGTAAGTAGGTCCTGTCAACACTGGCAACATCAGTGAGTAGGTCCTGTCACCACTGGCAACATCAGTAAGTAGGTCCTGTCACCACTGGCAACATCAGTAAGTAGGTCCTGTCAACGCTGGCAACATCAGTAAGTAGGTCCTGTCACCACTGGCAACATCAGTAAGTAGGTTCTGTCAACGCTGGCAACTTCAGTAAGTAGGTCCTGTCACCACTGGCAACATCAGTAAGTAGGTCCTGTCAACGCTGGCAACATCAGTAAGTAGGTCCTGTCACCACTGGCAACATCAGTAAGTAGGTTCTGTCAACGCTGGCAACTTCAGTAAGTAGGTCCTGTCACCACTGGCAACATCAGTAAGTAGGTCCTGTCAACGCTGGCAACATCAGTAAGTAGGTCCTGTCACCACTGGCAACATCAGTAAGTAGGTTCTGTCAACGCTGGCAACTTCAGTAAGTAGGTCCTGTCACCACTGGCAACATCAGTAAGTAGGTCCTGTCAACGCTGGCAACATCNGTAAGTAAGCCATGTCACCACTGGCAACTTCAGTAAGTAAGCCATGTCACCACTGGCAACTTCAGTAAGTAAGCCATGTCACCACTGGCAACTTCAGTAAGTAAGCCATGTCACCACTGGCAAAAAGTCCAGTATCAAACTTTTGCGAACTGCATCAGGCTGGAGAGGAAGATCGGTCTCAGATTATATTTATCGCGAACAAAATAAAGATTAGAACTTCTATTGCTTGCAGAATAATAATAACTACCCTACTTATAACATAACGCAAATAATTAACACAAAAATTGTGATACGAATTTAAATGAGCGAAAACTCTCAAAACAAAGCCAATTTTGAAAGCTTCACTTTCAAAATAGCTGAAATATTTGTAACCATGGACGCGAACAAGGATCTGACGCACTCATCGCACCAATTAACAACCAATTAGCTTGCACTCAACTTTTCTGTTTTTTCCATGACATAATACAAATAATGGAAATATTTGTAATTAAGTTTATAATTTGGCCGTCTCACAATAGCCATGCCATCCGCGTGCAGTCGTGCTGGATGATGGAAGAATCAAGTGTACGACTGGAGGTATCAAGTGTTAGACTGGAGGAATCAAGTGTACAGCTGGCGGAATCAGGCGTCTGGCTGGAGGAATCAAGACTTAGTGTCCACCTGTACTAATCATTTGTACATCTGGAGGAATCAAGTGAGATAATGAAGGAATTAAGTGTCCAGCTGTATAAATAAAGTGTATAGCTGGAGGATTAAAGTGTATAACTCAAGTGATATAATATCCAAATAATGCTATGATGTTGCCAAATGCTGTATGGAGACGTCGAACTAAAGCAATGAAATTCACACCTGAAACACAGGCATTAATAGGAGCTCGGGAATGTTGTATAAAGGACCCGAAATAGGTATCTTAGGTCTTGGTCTCAAAATTTGTATTGGAAATAGCAAATGTAGATTTTACACAAGGCTCCAAAAATTAGACTTGTCTAATAAATATATGTTTTCTTAATAAATAACTTGCGTAGTAAGCGAAACTCGAATTGACTTATTTAGAGCTTTTATTCACGAAAATACAAAATTCTGAAACAAGATAGCCCTAGTGCACAACATGCAAGAGAATGATATCAAGGTAATATATTCATTTTTCATTCGTGAGGTGTCACGCGTAAAACATTTAATTACAGAATACTCACAGGTCCTGTCGCCAGGTCCATAATGGGAACAGTAGTTATTAGGTCTTTACAGTGCAAGAGCCGAGCCGGTTCTGTCCATACTTTTCCCTCAACGTAGCGTACTGGCATAGACTGCGGTAGGGAATATTACTTATGAACAATACAGTAGAAATTAAAATACTGTAAAAAACTGGAAATGGGGTCAACTTTAAACTTTTGATTTAAATATAAACTACGTGCTCTAAGAAAATTTCTAGTCGAGCACTTCAATTCACTGTTCTCCATGTTCGCAGCTGGACTTTTCTCTTCGTCGTAGCTGCTAAGCAACGCTTGTGGAGAATTTTATAGTAGAAGTAGTTACAGTATATGTAGTTATATTATACCCAGAGCAAATGTAGTTATATTATAGCCGGTATTTTACGTTTTCGTATCTCTGTGTATGTGATAAAATTTTTAAACAGTCAGATTTTCATGTTATGTGCACGTAATTTTATCTTGATGCCATGTCCAGACATTTTCTGTTCAAGTAATTTTTTCACGGTTACTGTTTTTTTGGCGGAAATTGTTTCCCTTTAATCTTAAATAGTCTGACAGGAATTCAATGATAGTTCATAATAACTGAGGCAGGTCATTAATTAGAAAAATCAATCCACCTTCGTGTACCAAAATTCTTGATGTCTAAGCTTTGGCGATAAAGGTTGGTCGAACTTGCTACATTTTTGCCGTAAGCTCAGCTTCTTATATTTCAATAAACATTTAATGAATAATTATTGTATAATAGGCGAACAGCCAACTGGAACTTATTTGGGGAGGACCACTTTGATGATTATGGGAATAAGCAATGACATAATCCAGAGTTATTTTATTTCTGCCATGGCGTCATGCCAGAGTTGTAATATATCAGCCATTATGCAAGAGATTCAACATCTTTGTTGTGCATCATGCCAGAGTGGCATTTTTTAGTACTAGTTGTAATTTGAATATCTGAATAAAAGATAATAAGGTGAGCCTGTTTATAGTAAATCATAATGAGAAGTAACATATAGAAATATAAATAAAAAATGTACATATTTGTATAACATTTTAAGAATAAATACAAATAATAATAATAATAATAAATTTTTATCGAAATAAATAATTATTTTGATAAAAATTGGTAACGGCATCGGAATTATTGTTTTATTTTACCTATAGAATGGTAAGACTAATAAGTTCACATGTATATCAGACATCGTCGTTTTTTTCTATGTATATTTCTGGTTCCATTCATGTTCTTTCTCTAACATGTCGCACTGTCATATCGCAATAATGACTTCCGGCCTAGTTTGCTCATCCGTAAATTTTTTATTGATATTCGTCTCGTGATTCTTAATTAGATTTTTACAATATTCACTCACAGAAACATTCATTTCGTAGACGTCTTTCGTGTAAGATTTTTGAGTAAGTTTTCAGAGGTTGTGGGTGAATCTCCTGACAAACAGCCATCATATCCACCATTTACTGGGTACTATTTTTACTAGTTCTTCACTTACACAAATAAAACAACTTCCTTATGAGACCAACTCTATCTCTGTATATTGCAAGTATGATATTGTCCCGACAAGCTCATTGCAATATCACAGTACGCGATACACGGCAATATTTCTCTCTGAAGCTCGGGCTGTCAGCGGCTGTTCCACGCTCTGCGTTTCAGCGCGCGTGAATGAAAAACTCCAAATATTGCCCAGCCTATCAGATGCCTAAGCGATACAAACTGGTTTTCGAAATTTCATGTGGTTTTCGGAAGAATTTGTGTGATGGAAATAGCTTCATGAAATTTATTGTTAGACCCATTGCTTCATATTCCAACCGTCCTAATTAATTTATTTTAGAAAAAAAAAGAAAATAAAAAAAGGAAAAGGTTTTAGAGATGCATTGATTTAAACAAAATCCACTTGAAATGGAGAACTTTAGGAAGAATCCACTCAAAATTTTTGAGATTCATTTTTCATCTACCATTTTCGACACTGAAGATACTGTCGCTAATGCATTGAAATATATAATGGCAGTGAAACGTTTTTTAATTTCTAGCAAAAAACCAAACACAATTATTTACATTTGGCTTTTCCTAGTAAAACTTTATTCATATATAATGAAACATAATTTTTTGATTAAATGAACTAACTTAACAGCAGTTGCGACCAAGGAGTCATAACGCATGATGACAATGTAAATTAAATGCGGGATCTATTCTCCGTAGAGTTTTTTCATCCTAAGTCAACGTTCAAATCGAAAAATTGAGTTGATGACTCAAAGCGAATCGCATAATTGAACTCAATAAATGCTTGGTTCTATACCATAGTAATATCGATGTGAGTTAGTACAGAATCTAATATTGTGAAGCTGTTATTATTGCATTTGATGATGGGTTAAATCAATCTTTCCAAATATATTTTTATTCATTAAATGGAATGTGATGAGTTGAGAAATTAAATAAATTAACGCCACAACTGCTGCACTATCAAAAAAAGCAGCGCACTATCATCGTGTTGATAGGAAGTGTTAAAGTAGCAACCGATATGGAGACTCAAACATGGTTCTTTGTTTTGTATCCATTTGCACTAAATTTATGGGGAAGGTGAAACTAAGAGTCGAAACAGTGCACCAGTTTATTGAAAGATCGAGTTCTTTGGCAAGTTCCAAGGTCCCTGACTCAGACTCCGCTCCAGGCACCCTCCACCTTTAGCGCCACTTCACGTCTGTAGAAATAAAACATAAAGAGTTCTGATCTATTAAGAATCTTACAGAATAAATTTAGATTAGAATTCCAAATTGTAAATGTGAATTGACCAGAAAATGAAGCTTTTAATTTAATGGATCGTGCTCAGAAGATCGGAAAGTATTCCATACTGAACGAGAAACAATAGCACTCCCGGAGCCGTGCCGTGTTCTCACCTTAAACTAAAGGCCATCAGTGCGCAGATCGTCCCTCACCACTTCTCGGCTCCCCCATAGCCAACCGCCTAGTCAAGTGACAAGCCAGGCCAAGCGCTGCGTTGTAGAAGGCTGCGCTGCTTTGCGTGTGTGCTATGCGCTCAGGACACGGAGAGAAATTCCATGATAAAAGCAAGCCTAACGTGCGATCGAGCTACCCCCCAGTCAAAACTGCTACGCTGCCATGGGCCGTGCTGCGCAGACCGATAGGTCTGGTCTGGGATGAGTGGCGTCTAGGAATCTACTGGCCAGTAATCAGTTACTAACCTACTATGGGCGCGATTACAACATTCAAGCGTATGCTGTATTCACGGCGTGGGAGTGCTTTTGGAATTGTAATCTTTACAAGATCATTGGTATTAATATAAAAGTTTTTAAATTGCACAGCAATTTTGTACACCATTAGTTTAACTAGGTCCCCCTGTTTAAAATGTTTGTATTGTTCATGTGATAATAAAAAGTTTTTATTATTCATCATGCTTTCTTTTCGGGTTTGGAATGTTGTTTGTATATAATGGAACCCGTGCCGGCATACAAGATTTATCGCTCGATCAGCCCATGCATTTACACCAAGAACTTGAAGATGGCCAACCGGTGGACAACTATCTGCTCCTTATGTCCATCATTAAGCCCATGATAAAACAACGGCTTAGAGATGGCCATAAATCCATAGAGCGGTGGCTGATGCCTCATAAGTTGTTATGGTCATCGTAGAAGATAAGAGGAGTTGAAATTCTGCGACCTCAATTGTTATTGGCGGGTTCAGAGGCAAGCCTGATTGGTTGGTTACTGGACTTATGGCTTCGTAATTTTCCTTTATTGCGTTTTTTGAGGGAAAGCAACGCAAACTATTACTTAGATATCTGAATTCTGAATGTTCAATTTAAAAACAGTTACTATGTAGGAATATAATGTATGTTTTAATCGATGAACAAGAATCTTGTTGAAAAATAAATTGCTTTCCCAAATAAGATACTGCTGAGACTAGCCCGGTATTAAGGGACAAGGATCTAGTCGCCAATAAACTTTGAACATAGCCAAGCACGAACGTTCCGCGAATGAGATGAGGTATAAACATTACATTGAAGTTTAACCAGACGTTGTTAACCGGAGTTAAACTTTAAAAACTATAGCCGTTGAAGTCATGTGAACTTCAAAAAATTGTAATTACGCAAAGTTAAAAAGCCTAACATTGGAGTCATGAAAATTTGCTAAACTCAACATTGATGGCACGTAAATTTCAGTAGCTCTAGAATGATGCAATAAAATTACTGAAACTCAACATTGATGACACGCAAACCCCTTAAACTAAACGTTGATTGGACAAAAAATCCTATGAATCAGCAATGATGGTACGAAAACTCCATGCCATCATCAAACAGGAAATTATTCCGTGTCAAGCGCCCTCACTTATAGGGCATCTGTCTGCCGGCTAATTACCTTAACAAAAATCCGCCAAATTAAATTGCCCCGCGCTAGACAGAGGCCTACGCAAACATAATCAAGAAGAACGGGCTCGTAATTTTACAGGCCCTTGTTTGTTGCAGTCAACTTCTTATGCCAGCTCTGAGTCCGGAAATTAATGATTTTTTGTACAAGACAGCCCCATGGTGAATTTATATTAATGCTATTCATAAAAGAGTCGTGAATTATTAGGGCTGTGACAGGGTTCTAGACTCGTCGTCTCCTAACGGTTGAATTCCAAGAACATCTATTCATTTCTGGCAGCCGAGAGTTCAATAACTCTTTTCGTGCGAAGACGCATAAATCTCTGTTTCTCACTTTACATTGCAACGATTGGGAAATTTACCGATAGAGAACAAATTTATAAAGAGGGAAATGTACTTGCAAATTTATATCTAGAAGCTAAAATTAGGCTCGAATAGTTCAAAATTGTTTGGAGAATAGTAGAGGTGAATCCGTAGATAATTTTTAGAGGCAAACAAAACTGAAATTAAAGCAATCAGCTTCGGGACATTGTTTTACCTAGACACCGGTTTATTCATTTTAGGACACAGATCCTCACATACGTAGATGCAGTGGAAAGGAAAATACCCACGAACGCTTATAGCCATGTATTTGGATCAGTATTTTGCACCAAGTATTTAGTGCAGTAGACTTCGTCAAAAATGGTAAAGGCATGGTTCTCAGAAATTGAGATTGCTGGAATTGAATGGAGGTTTTTGGCGTGAGTTCACAACTTCCTAATAGACAGAGTGCATGCATGGAAGCTTTCACTCCTGGGTGTGTAAGGAAGTAATCAGGTGTCCCACTCTATTCATTATAATTATATTCTAAGATTGGATCTTCTGTAATTGAGGCGTAATATTTACTAGACGTGATAGAGATTGATGGAAAAGTACTAGACATGAGTAATAGTCTATATAGTAATAACTATTGTGTAGTAAGTCAGCGCAGTCAGCGTGAGTAAGAACCCCACTGTGGGCGGAAGTACGAAGTCTATAAAAGGGCTGGGCACTCTAATAAGTCCCCACCAGTTGTTAGCAAGCACGCTGACATGTAACACTCGTTAGAGCTATTCCGACCTAACGGTCCATGTCCTAGCCTATACCTGTATGTTTCTCTGTAATGAGTCTCGGGTATAACCTCCCAGTATCACGATAAGTTGTTACATATCTTATTTATCTCTCACGTACCTCTTCAACGAATCCCTGTCCTCAGGTTAAACTAATATTATTATTCAGGTGGCGCTTAATGGTGCCTCCTGACAAGTGGGAAGATGAGTAATGGAGTAACCGAATAAGAAATCTGATCCTCTTCCTCATTCAAATTGCCGAATTTATCATGGTAGTTTTCTGACGACATAAGGGTACTAATGACGATTAAGTACAGGATGGATTGTGAGGGAGATTGCAAGAAGTCCTGTCAGAAATACGTCACTAGATCCGAGTGAACCAAATGCAACGGAGCCAAGTTTGAAAGACTGAATTGTGGAGTCGCAGCTGAATTAAAGATGGAACACAATGCATTATCTGGCATAGGACGGAACGGAATTCAAAGAAAAGTAAGTTTTGCATGACCTTCTGAGTGTCAAAGAGTATCGAAGCCATGTGGCCACA